ATCAAAACAGCATAGTACTGGTAACAAAACAGAGATATAGATCAATGGAACAGAACAGAGCCCTCAGGAATAATACTACACATCTACAACCGTCTGATCTTTGACAAACCTGAGAGAAGCAAGAAATGGGGAAAGGATTCCCTTTTTAATAAATGGTGTTGGGAAAACTGGCTAGCCATATGTAGAAAACTGAAACTGGATCCCTTCCTTACACCTTATACAAAAATTAATTCAAGATGGATTAAAGACTTAAATGTTAGACCTAAAACCATAAAAACCTTAGAAGAAAACTGAGGTAATACCATTCAGGACATAGGCATGGACGAGAACTTCATGTCTAAAACACCAAAAGCAATGGGGCAACAAAAGCCAAAATTGAGAAATGGGATCCAATTAAACTAAAGAGTTTCTGCACAGCAAAAGAAACTACCATCAGAGTGAACAGGCAACCTACAGAATAGGAGAAAAGTTTTACAATCTACCCATCTGACAAAGGGTTAATATCCAGAATCTAGAAAAAACTTAAAAAAAGTTACAAGTAAAAAATCAAACAGCCCCATCAAAAAGTGAGTGAAGGGTAGGAACAGACAGTTCTCAAAAGAAGACATTTATGCAGCCAACAGACACATGAAAAAATACTCATCATCACTCGCCATCAGAGAAATGCAAATCAAAACCACAACGAGATACTATCTCACACCAGTTGGAAAAGTGCTCATTAAACAGTCAGGAAACAACAGGTGCTGGAGAGGATGTGGAGAAATAGGAACACTTTTACACTGTTGGTGGGTCTTTAAACTAGTTCCACCATTGTGGAAGATGGTGTGGTGATTCCTCAAGGACCTAGAACTAGAAATACCATTTGACCCAGCCATCCCATTACTGGGTATATACCCAAAGGATTATAAATCATGCAACTATAAAGACACATGCACACGTATGCTTATTGTAGCAGTATTCACAATAGCACAGACTTGGAACCAACCCAGATGTCCATGAATGATAGACTGGATAAAGAAAATGTGGCACATATACACCATGGAATACTATGCAGCCATAAATAGGATGAGTTCATGTCCTTTGCAGGGACATGGATGAAGCTGGAAACCATCACTCTGAGCAAGCTATCACAAGAACAGAAAACCAAACACTGCATGTTCTCACTCATAGATGGAAATTGAACTGTGAGAACACTTGGACACAGGGTGGGGAACATCACACACTGGGGCCTGTTGTGGGGTGGAGGAGCGGGCAGAGATAGCATTGAGAGATATGCATAATGTAAATGACGAGTTGATGGGTACAGCACATCATCATGGCACATGTATGCGTATGTAAGAAACCTGCACGTTGTGCACATGTACCCTAGAGCACAAAGTGTAATATTAATTTAAAAAAAAAGAATGAAGGGGAAAACATTGTGAAATAAAGGAAAAGAAAAGAATTTGTCAGTGAGACACTTACCTTGCAAGAAAGACAAAAGAAAGTTCTTTAAACCAGGAGTTACCAACCAGTACCGGTTTGTGGCCTGTTAGGAACTGGTACACATAGCCGGAGATGAGCAGCAGGCAGATGAGCATTACCGCCTGAGCTCTGCCTCCTGTCAGATCAGCCACCACATTAGATTCTCATAGGAGCACAAATCCTATTGTGGACTGCATATGCAAGGGATTTGGGGTTGTGCACTCCTTATGAAATTCTAAGGCCTAATGATCTAAGGTCCGGATGATGGAACAGTTTCATCCTGAAACCATCTCCTCGCACCCCCACCCAGCCTGTGGAAAAATTGTCTTCCATGAAACCTGTCCCTGGTGCCAAAAAGGTTAGGGAACCCCTGCTTTAAACAGAAATTATAAAAGAAGGACTCTTGAAGTAACAGGAAGGAAGAAAGAACAGTGAAACAAGAAGAAATAGTGGGAGAATGCAATAGACTATACTTCTTGTGAGTTTCATGAATCATATTTGATGATTGCAACAAAAATTATAACATCATCTGATACTCAAGACAAGACAATTATACTTAAAAGTAGGCAAGGTAGAGACCTAACTGGTAGTAAGGTTTTCACACTTCACTCAAAGTGGTAAAATGTCGATACCAGTAGACTGTGATAAATCACATATGTACATTGTATTGCCAAGAACAACCGCTAAGAAAACTATATAAAGTAATAAACTCAGAAACTCTATAAATTAATCACGATGGAATCCTAAAAAATTCTAGTAACCCCAGAAAAACAAGAAAAAACAAAGGAACAAGGAATAGAAGAAACAAACAGAAAACAATAAAATGGCAAACTTAAGGCCTGACATAAGTATTTACCTTAAAAGGATACAATATGAACAAAAGGAAAAATTGATCATGAAAAAAAGATTTGTCTATGAAAATGATTTTTTTTACATGAGGTATTCCTGTTGTCATGGGAGATATTTATGAGTAGATTCTAATTACCTTGTATTGTTAAAGTGAAAGTCACTCTCAGTAAATTTGTGATTTGTTCTTTCCTAATTTCAGCAGTTTTTTTTTTTAATTATTATTATACTTTAAGTTCTAGGGTGCATGTCCACAACGTGCAGGTTTGTTACATATGTATACATGTGCCATGTTGGTGTGCTGCACCCATTAACTCGTCTTTTACATTAGGTATATCTCCTAATGCTATCCCTCCCCCAACCCCCTCCCCACAATAGGACATGGTGTGTGGTGTTCCCCTTCCTGTGTCCAAGTGATCTCATTGTTCAATTCCTACCTATGAGTGAGAGCATGTGCTATTTGGTTTTCTGTTCTTGTGATAGTTTGCTGAGAATGATGGTTTCCAGCTGCATCCATGTCCCTACAAAGGACACGAACTCATCCTTTTTTATGGCTGCATAGTAGTCCATGGTGTATATGTGCCACATTTTCTTAATCCAGTCTGTCACTGATGGACATTTGGGTTGATTCCAAGTCTTTGCTATTGTGAATAGTGCCGCAATAAACATGCATGTGCATGTGTCTTTATAGCAGCATGACTTATAATCCTTTGGGTATATCCCCAGTAATGGGGTGGCTGGGTCAAATGGTATTTCTAGTTCTAGATCCTTAAGGAATCGCCACACTGTTTTCCACAATGGTTGAACTAGTTTACAGTCCCACCAACAGTGTAAAAGTGTTCCTATTTCTCCACATCCTCTCCAGCACCTGTTGTTTCCTGACTTTTTAATGATTGCCATTCTCACTGGTGTGAGATAGTATCTCATTGTGGTTTTGATTTGCATTTCTCTGATGATGAGTGATGATGAGCATTTTTTCATGTGTCTGTTGGCTGTAGGAATGTCTTCTTTTGAGAAATGTCTGTTCATATCCTTTGCCCACTTTTTGATAGGGTTTCAACAGTTTTTAAACAGTATTGAGGAAAGGTTACTTCAAACAAAAATTGTTTTTGTATGTGTTTCATTTGAATTCTGTGGTGGCTAAATGAGACCACTACAGAATTCCAATGAGTGGTTAAAATGACAAAGTTCACAGAAAAAGGAGTATAAACGATATAAATATTATAAGGAACATTTAGAATCACAATAATCAGAGAATTCAGGTTGAAGCAGAAATTAGAGTTTTTTTTTTTTGGCTATCAGATAGGTAGGGATTAATTAAATTCATAGTTGCTAATTGTAATGGGATATGTAAAAATAGGTGCTGTTATATACAATTAGAAGTGTAGATCTGATCAACATATTCTAGGGCAGTTTTAGAGGAATGGCAACATTTTAACATGTTAATTTGCATTCAGCAATTCAGATTATGGAAAGCTGTGTATAAGAAATCTGCTTAATTGTTCACAGTAACATATATAGACAGGTGTTTATTTTAGTGGTATTTGCAAGGGAGAAAGGCTAGAAATAGTTGGGCTATGCCCTGGTATCAGGAAATGTTTTAAAATAAAAACTAATACATATTAACACTTCACAAGAAAAAAAAATTCCACAAAGAGCAGACATTATTTAGCTGTGTTGGTGTAATGTTCATAATATTTCTAACTTCCAAAATGTATTGAGGATACTTTAATAAACAGTTTTGTTGTGAACTCATTAATTTGAATAATTATTAATTGCAAACATACCCAAATGTAAGTTCAATGTACAACAACAACAAAAAACAAAAGTAACATTTAATTTACTGTTCTGATTGTTAGTCCACGTATTTCTATGGGTAATCAAATTGAACGTCATATATATGTTTATTTGAAGAGTAAAAATCATCTTATGTTTACATCAGTGACATATTTCTTCTAAATTAAAATATTTTTTTCTACCAATTTTTTAAAGCCTTGCCTGATGTTACCCTGTCTGTGAGGTTTTTGTTAATTATTCATCTTTAAGTTATCACTCTCTTTTGAACTAACATTTTTTCTGTATTTTTATCTCATCATTTTCCATAATATTAATAGTAATAATACTTTTAATGCTCTAAATCATACATTATCCACTTCTTTATTTGCTTTACATATATTATCAGATTTCTCATATTAGCCCATAATAAGGTAGACATTACTATCCTTTTTTTGCATTGAAGAAACTGAAATTTTCAGAGATTAAGTAAACTGCTCAAGGTCACACAGGTGAGATTAAAGTTTAGGTTTCAAATTCAGGTATGTTTGCTACAAAACCTTGTCACTGTGTTAGACTGCCTCTTAAGTGAGTAAGGTAAATGAAATAAGTGCTTTGTGTGTTTAAAAGAAATTTTGTTATAAAGGAAAGGAAATAATCGACGAATTAATGAAATGTTCAAATTACAGACTTTAAAGTAAATACAGATTTAGTTTTATACTTGTCATTAGGTAATTCAGTATTAGTAATTAATACCATTAGATATAATGTGATAATCAACTAGTGAAAAAGAAAAAAATTAAAGTTCACGGTTATTTGCTACATATATATATAAATTTTAAGTTAGAATTATACCATTTGTTATGTCATTTATGCCATGTACAAATGAATGAAAATTTCACTTTTTTTCTTTCTAGAATTCTGGAGGCGGAAATGGAGTTGATCTTGCAGTGCTAAATGAGGCTCGCAATATGGTTTCAGATCTTCTGATTGATCCAAGCCTTCCTCCACAAGTCATTTCCTCTCTACGGAGTATCAGTAGCTTAATGGGTGCTTTCTCAGGTTCCTGTAGGCCAAAGATTAATCCTCTCACACCATTTCCTGGATTTTACCCCTGCTCTGAAATAGAGGACCCAGCTGAGAAAGGGGATAGAAAACTTAACAAGGTCAAAATACAGTAATCATCCAACCCTATTTATCAAATTTAATGATATTTTCAAAATAACTGCTCCTTTAAATTCTATATAAAATACAATTTTCCTTTCAAGGATCGGACATAATATTGAGCTGCTTGGGATGTTAGAGGCAATTATAAGCTCAAATAATTATAGTTGAGTATTCAGTTTTTATTTTAAGTACATTGCTGTGATTAGTACTTATAATTTGAATGGTAACAACTATGTATTATTATTCTTATTAAGAAGTAGAGAACAACAAGCAAATTTTGTTCCAGGGTGGTACAACAAACTAGTAGCCAGATCATTTTGTTGCTGTATTTTATTCTTTAGAATCCAGGAATTGTTCTTGTTGAGCCAAGAAGAAATGGTCATTATAATATTCATTTTATGAATTACATAGCATTATTTTAAAATGATTTTTATATTTTTTGAACCCTGTTTTCCCCCCTTTTATACCTACTGGAGATTACGGTAGCCCAGTAGGCACTGATTTTTATATCATTGGAATAGAGGATTAATTTCTCTTTAAAATATAAATATTTCAAAATAGGATTTTCTTTAGAAAATAATAAATACTCTTCTAAATTGGTATGCATTATCCTTATTCAGAGTGCTTTTACTTGTTTTATTTGACTATTAGTATCTTTACCAATAGCTAAAATCATAAAATTTTAAAACTAGAAACATTTTAGAAATTATTTTACTCAACCACTTTATTCCAGATAAAGAAACTAACCAAGAGAAGATGAAATTTATTTCAGTTAATTTTGTCAATTGTAATAATGCTTATAGAACTTAGAAATAGATAAATATAGTTTTTGTAGGAATTTTGATTATCAGTTAATTTTGTCAGTTGTCAGCATTAGGGTTTAGAAATGTGGAAAAATTAAGCAAACCCAATTAGAAGAAAAGGGTTTCAAAAGTACTGATCACAATCCGGATCATAGTTATGTGATACTTTTATTTTTTTAAAGTTTATACAGTAGCACCTACATTAGTCAAAACCCAATTAATTAGTACTTAGTTATATGACTTCTTTTTTAGCAGTCTACCTTTTAAGAAAGAGATTAATCACAAGCATTCAGAGGGCATAGCAATAAACCATAAATAAAAGAACTCTAATGTATTCTTGAGTTAGTTTTCACTCTACCCCTCCTTTGCATTTTCTATTGATATTTGATACTCAGGATAGTAATTTTTTAAAATAGTAATTCTTAAAATTTAAAATCAGAAATCATATTGATATCAGTATTTAGTGTGTAGAAAAGTGTGCTAGTACATTTTAGGAACATTTTAAACATAATATTAATTAAACAGGATGCCTAAATGCCTCATTTCCTGAGCATTGTAGTTAATCAAGGTTATTTTGGGTTCTGGAATCTACTGATAGAGTAAGTCATATAAGAACCAGGAAGTAACCCTTATTCCTTTTCTTTGTGTTCCTTAAACTGCTTATTAGAATTCTATATCAAATTTGTCTCTCCTTTTGGAAAAGCATATAAAAAGCCTGATGTTACTTCAGAAAAGGGCAATGGCATTTATTTAAAAAACAATAGGTGAAAGGGAAAAGGAACAGATAACTTAATATAACTTTCTTATACACGTTAAAAACAAAGAAAGATCATGTGAACCTAAATTACAGTCAACAAGGATATTAGCATAAAGGACTTTTTCACTGCAGGTCTAATTAACTATTAACCTTTACAAAGTCAATGTCCTTGGGAAAACTGAAATATAAGACAGATATTTATCTCTGAGATTGCTGCAGTGTCTGCTGATAGAGGAAATTCATAAAAAGCAGAAACTATTATGTAAATATCAGTAAAACATTTATAATGGTCAAGAATGGAATATTGTTAATTGAACATTTGGGTTAGTTGAAGATTTTTTTAAAATTAGGGCAAAATATTAATGCTAAAGGTGTTCTGTATTTAACTCAGTCATTTATTCAAACTCAGAATCCTGCAGTTTCTCCTGATTAACCACTAAATAAGTTCTATAGCACTGTACTGAAAATATAAAAAAATTAGAATATAGGGCTGATCATCCCTGATCCTAAGATTGTCCTCCGAAGTTGATTTTCAGGGTAAATCTTTCATATCCACTTTTTAAATTGCCAATTGTTTCTTTCTCATGAAACAAGTAGTAAAATGTACAAAAGGAAAAGAATCTAGTTTAAATTATAGAGCTCAGACATATTTTTTAGTAGGAGGAAGAGGAATAGAATAACAAAATAGAGTGTGAAATTTGGAGTAAATTGACAGATTTTCAGAATAAAATGTTTCTTTTTTCTCTGTACATGTTAAAAATATACTTTGTATTGATACTTGCATGTGCCATCACTAATACTACATATATAGCATATTAAAGAGTGACATTTTAAACCATTGTTAAATTATTCAACAGGGACTAAATAGGAATAGTTCGCCAACTCCACAGCTGAGGAGGAGCTCAGGAACTTCAGGATTGCTACCTGTTGAACAGTCTTCAAGGTGGGAACGTAATAATGGCAAAAGGCCTCACCAAGAATTTGGCATTTCAAGGTAAAATCTGCAGAGCCTTTTAAGAAACTTGAATCAAATGCATCTACTTTGCTTCTGTCAATAATGTTTCAGTTAGTTCTGGAAGCAGAAAGGAATGGTTGAAGTATTTTAGGTATAGGACAACATGTGTAGTAATAATATGGTAAAATAGAGAAACTGATTATTAAAAAGAAGCTAATGTGTCTTGTCCTAAAACTTTGATAGGCTGGGTACAAAATGTGCTGGATCCCTGAGAACATGAGATAGTTTAGGGAAATTAGGATCAACTCAGGACTGGGTGCTGGGGAAGTTTTTAAATCGAGAGAAGTGGCCATTACAGGGTTAGCCACCAATCCAATGAATAGTATCCAGAGGTAGGTCTGCAGAGTTGGCTGACTTCTGAAAAGAGGAGCACGTTTCCAAGGGTCATCACAGTTGTTAGGTTGAAGGTAAACAGACTTTCAAATCCTGTTCCTGCTGGAGACTGAGACAACTAATATAATCTATATTCTGTTGAGGATTTACTTGGAACCGAACAATGCTAATCTTATAAATGAAAGTCATCAGTAACTAAGTAAATGAGGCTGGGAAAATGTAGGAGCTGAAATCTCCTGAATGTAAATATATACATTTACCCTGATAACAAAGGATTTAATAATATAGTACTTTGTCTTTTGAAAACCAGGAAAGATACTGATCCTTGCTTGAGTTTATCATAATTTTCTTTACTCAGCTTTCTAATTATGTTAATATAAGATCGGAATTGGCACAAATTCTGCGTTAACCACTTTCTGTTATTATTGAGCATGTTTTATACTTTTGAGCTGTATCGTTTCACATTTGAAACAGTAGATGGCAGGATTGGATCATAGATATTTGTTAAAATTTATGTTAATATTTGCGTTTGAAAGAATAAGATGATTATAATTTTCTAGATTCTTAGGTGGTTTATTAATTTGAATCTTGTATAATATATTCAAGCAGCTGAACTCCTTTTTTGTAAAAGAAAAATTGAATGAAGCGATGTCTAAAACAGGAATGCAGTGAAGTACGAAGAGTACTGTACAGGAAAATGAACACTGGTCCAAAATTTGCTGTGGCCTGAACATCATAGTCTTCTTTTTTTTTTTTTTTTTTTTTTTTTTTTTTTGGTAAAGGAAGCAGGCTATAGGGAAGTGAATGATGTCAGGAACAGAAAATGTGACAGTATTTCTTAACTATGGGTAGCATTATCTTGAGAATATAGTTGGGTTTTAAAAGGAATGATAAAAATGTTTTATATTTTAACCTTTCATACTGATGTAACAGCAATGCATTTGCAGTTAAAGAAACATTTGATACATTGAGTTAAGGTCATTTTTATCCTGCTGCCTCAGATAATTGATTGAAACAGAAGCATAGTCCAGAGAAAACCAATCTTTAACTCTGAAAAGTGTTTATTATATAAAGCTAAATGTAGGTAGGTTCTATATAATGACTTAACTCTCATTAAAACAAAATTCATGCCTCATAAAATATTTAGAAATTTAGAGAATAAATTAATTGGTGGTATTATGTACATCTGTTTTAAAGAGACCAAGGTAGACGTATCTTTTCTAGTTTGCAGAAGCTGGAGCCTCTTGGTAATAAATGTCTATGTGTACTTTGCACATAGGTGGGTTATGATGGGAATATATGAAACATTTATAACCACTATTCCTTTTCAGATTCAAATCTCTAGATCAGTGCTAATAGAAATTTTTGCAATGATGGAAATAGTTTATATCTGCACTGTCTAATATGGTACTCCCTAGCTACATGTGGCTGTTAATCATTTGAAATGTATCTAGTATGACTAAGGAAGTGAATTTTAAATGTGATTTAATTCTTATTAATTTCATTCAGATATAAAGAGCCATATGTAACTGTTTTGTAGATACATGCGACATCCATATTAGTGCAGCTCTAGATCTTTAATGCGTAGTGATGTTTTGTTCAGGAATCTTTAGATTTTAGTAGCACAAAACTAATAGATTTATGACTCTGAAATCATCTTGACTTTATATTAGAGTACTCCAGAATCGAGATCTCATATGCTTGATTTTGAGTCTTGAGCTTTGGATTCTGATCACAGTTTGCCTGACTGATTTCAACATGATTCCAGTGTTGAACCTCTCATTTCCTGAGCCTATACCTGAAACCAGATTTCTCATCACTCCAGCTGCTTTTTCGTCTGTTACTGTTGTTCTGCCCTTATTTCCCGGCACAATGCTGCCATCCTCTAGTGGAGTGGTTGCTTACAAAATTGATTTACTTAGAGACTTGGTGTTATCTTTGCATCCTGTCACCTTATTCTACAGATGACAGTTGTCAGATATCTGTCTGCATTATCTTTTACTCTCTATTCCTTCTTCTCCTTTATCACTGTGCCTATACTATTTTATGTTTTCATTGCTGTTTACTTGGGCTATTGAATTAGCCTCTTAATTCCAGTTTCCAGTATCCTTCTTGACTTTATTAATCTTCTACTTTACACTACAAATGTTCCTTAAATAAAACTGTGATTGCAGTTGTCCCTGGGTATCCCTGGGGGATTGGTTCCAGGCCCCTCCCCTTCCCATGGGTACAAAAATCCATGGATGCTTGAGTTCTTTATATAAAATGGTGTAGTATTTGCATATACTCTCTACACATCCTTTCGTATACTTTAAATCACCTCCAGATTACTTATAATACCTAATGTAATGTAAATACTGTGTAAAGAGTAGTTATACTCTATTTTTTATTCGTTTTTTTATTACTGTTGTTTTTCCTTGAATATTTTTGATTTGGGGGTGGTTAAATCTGTGGATGTAGAAACCTCATATACAGATAGCTGACTGTATATAGTTTTTCTAGTCATTGCATTTTTGGACTCTTTACCAGTCCTATAGAATAACGCCGAAATTCCTAGTGTAGAATGTGAAACCCAATTATTACCTCATGACAGAGCTGCAACCCTTACTTGGAAAAAGTAAATGAACTAAGACAGATGAGCAGTCTTTCAAATAATGAGAATAGAAAAATGATATGGAGGCCGGGCGCGGTGGCTCAAGCCTGTAATCCCAGCACTTTGGGAGGCCGAGACGGGCGGATCACGAGGTCAGGAGATCGAGACCATCCTGGCTAACACGGTGAAACCCCGTCTCTATTAAGAAATACAAAAAACTAGCCAGGCGAGGTGGCGGGCGCCTGTAGTCCCAGCTACTCGGGAGGCTGAGGCCGGAGAATGGCGTAAACCCGGGAGGCGGAGCTTGCAGTGAGCTGAGATCCGGCCACTGCACTCCAGCCTGGGTGACAGAGCGAGACTCCGTCTCAAAAAAAAAAAGAAAAATGATATGGAAAGCTTTCTAGGTAAAAACAATAGGCATATAACTTGTTTAAGACTCTTCCTTAATGTTTTCTGATAATTTTGTTCTTAGTTTAACTCCATTTGAAAATTAAGCTAAATTATGTTTCAAAATAATTAAAATACAAACAATGAAATATATATATATAAGGTATTTGGATAAAATACTATTGCCAGGCAATGAGTTATTAGATTTGATTACACAGCAGTGGTGAAGATAAATGGTGACTCACGGGTTTAAAAGCAAGTCTCTTTAGTGTAGGAGTAGGAGGGTAGTATAGGAGTATCAATTATAGTTGATAGCCCACAGGATAATTGAACACAACTTGCCTATTTTTTCTCCAGGGAAAACCTGTTCAAAAGGAGTGACCTGTGAGCCCTGAATATATATGCTGTTTGACCTCAGAGAAGACTGGGTCCCATCACTCAGTTCAAAAATAGCAGTTCAGTCTTCTTTTAACTCTAAGTATAGGTTGAGCATCCCAAATCCAAAATGCCCCAAAATTCAAAATTTCTTGAGTACAAACATGACTCTGCAAATGGAAAATCCCACACCTGACCACATGAGACGGGTCACAGTTAAAATACAGTCAAAACTTTGTTTCATGCACAAAATTATTTAAAATATTATATAAAATTACTTTCAGGCTATGTGTATATGAAATATAAGTGAATATTGTGTTCTATCCCCAAGATATCACATTGTGCATAAGCAAATATTCCAAAACCTGAAATCTGAAACACTTCTGGTCCCAAGACTTTCAGATAAGGGATATTCAACTTGCACTAAAACTAGAACTCAAAGATGGGTAATTCAATCATCAGCAAGTCCGGAAAACAACCTTTCTTGGAACTTTCTGACCAGAGAAGTCTCATCCCAGATCTGAAACTTAAACAGAAGGCAAGATTAAGGGTCATAATGCCGTTCCATATGGTCATTCCACAACTGTGCCGTATAATTTATCAGAGACTTACAGCAAGGTTATATTAGCAAACTTGACCCTATTTGAACCCCAGCAATTCAAGAGGGCTAATTGTGTCATCCTACTCAGGTTCTTAAGAGAATAACTCTGTAAATTTAGACATCTACAATTATCAAATTTATACAACTGCATTGAAACTGAGTTGGTACAGACCTTGTTAAGGTAATTTGTATTGACTGTCTAGAAGTTAGCTCTTAAAATATAGCTTAGCTCAGGGACCATAACTTTTGATGTCTCTTGTTTGTTTGCTTTTGACAACTCATTCCCAAGTGAGTAAAAAAGAAAAATAAACTCAATTTCTTCCACCATACTCTGACAGCACATTTCTGATACCAGATGTGTGGGGATTTCTCCCCAGCAGCAAGCAAGCAAGCAAGCAAGCAAGCAAGCAGTTCTATAGTAGACATAAGCTAGGTGTCCTATAATTCAATTATTTCTTTTTCTTTCTTTCTTTCTTTTTTTTTTTTTTGAGACAGAGTCTCACTCTTTGCCCAGGCTGGAGTGCAGTGGCACGATCTCGGCTCACTGCTACCTCTGCCTCCCGGGTTCAAGCAATTCTCCTTCCTCAACCTCCTGAGTAGCTGGGACTACAGGCACATGCCACCACGCCCAGCTAATTTTTGTATTTTTAGTAGAGATGGGGTTTCACTATGTTGGCCAGGCTGGTCTCG